AATATTTTTCGCTTCACAGAAATTTATTTTTGAAAAACGCAATGCAAATTCTGTCCCGCAACAGTTCTTTCAAATCCGGTCATCTTTCAAGTCCGAAAATTTGACTGACGATCAACGCGAAAATTGCACTCGCACCTTGTTCGTAATCTAAAAACCCTTATGTTGCAAAATTTGAAGTTCTTAACCCGAATATCTTCATATTAATGACAAAAAAATTTATATGAATTTCGATTTTTAGCACCATGTATTTTCGTCAATTTGAAATTTTCATTTGCCACTAGTGGGGATACTGATTAAGAATCATCCCCTATAGAGTAGAGAAAATTTCGACATTTTTCCGAGAAAAAAAAGACACGATTCTGGGGATCGATCTGTGGTCTTTAGAAAAAAAAACTTCCCAGTGAACTACGCGAGGATTCCGAATTTTTTCACGTTTGCAACTTCCACATTTTGGTCAATTTTTAAATATTAGTCAATGCTAATCGCAACTTGATCCATATGCATTAGCTCCAGAAATGAACATCGTGTTGCAGTTTGTTAATGAAAATTATGCAGCAGTTGCACGTTTTAAAGAGGATCCGCATTCATTTTGTAGAACACTTTGTAAAATCAATGCCATCAATTTGAGACGTTTCTGGTTATTTCTAAACTATTTTTCACTATGGGGTATAATCAGAGCAGTGAAACGCTCTGATTATCCCTGCGTATCCGCTTACCATAAAAAAATGTAGATCTTACCAAAGGCAACGAGGTCGTTTTTGTGCCTATGTATTAGCAGAATTCTACAATAGATCTGATTGACCTCTCCGTAACCGGTCAAACTTATACAGAATCAACTAATTCTTTTCAAAAATAGCAATATTAATGAACTTGGAACTGGCATTGTATTTAAATCCAGTGTTACGATTTAGCATGCAAATGGGCATTCATATATTTTTTGTTTCTTCATTTAATTGTTCACGTCCAGTTGAACGGTATTTTCGGTTGGAACAAATCGCGTGGAAAGTTTACGTTTACGCGATCCCGATCGAAAAATGAGCTTGGTGAAACGGAAAAAACTGGAAAGTAAGAAAAAGGGTAAGACTGAACTACCAAAACTTGTAACCGACTATTGTTCAATGATGATTTGCTCTCTGGATACGTAGGTAAAGTCCCGAAGGGCTCAATATTGAATATAAGCAGTTATGAAAAAGTGTTCAAAGAGTCAATCGAAAATCCGGAATCGTTCTGGGCCAGTGTTGGAACGATGGTCAGTTGGGCCAAGCCATGGAAGAAGGTGTTGGACAACAGCCAAGAACCATTCACCAAATGGTAGTAGGCGATATTTCCGTTAGGACTTATTAAGTGGTAGATAATAACAATTTATTCAGGTATGTCGGTGGAGAAATAAACGCCTGTTACAATGCGGTCGATCGGCACGTGGAAGCAGGAAACGGTTCCAAAGTGGCCCTCATCTATGATAGTCCAGGAACCGGAGTAGTGCGCAAAATTTCCTACTCGGAATTGCAAGAAAAGGTCCAGTAAAGATTCAGAAATCTTTACATCGACTTCATTGGTTATTTTCGTTGAAGGTTTCGAAATTGGCCGGACTTCTAGCCAGATATGGGGTGGAAAAGGGCGATAAGGTGCTCATTTACATGCCCCTTATTCCAGAAACCGTAATGGCGATGTTGGCGGTTGCAAGATTGGGAGCCGTTCATTCGGTCGTGTTTGGAGGTAATTTACCATCAGTAGATAGAAACAGGAAAATTATTAATTTTTTTTTTCAAAGCCGATCCAAACGTTACTATTTAGTATATATATTTTATATATTTAGTATATCAAATATTTATTTGAAAAAATGCTTGACATTGATACGTTTTTCGGGCTTACTGGGGTTTTCCCAAAACCCCCCGAGAAACTCACCATTTTCACGCAATGACGGCGAAACCCCAATTCTTCTGATATCCTTAACATTGCTTTGTGTTGTTTTAGGATTCGCAGCTAGTGAATTAAGCACTAGAATTAACCACGCTGAACCAAAGGTCATCATTGCAGCCAGTTGTGGCATTGAACCGAACAAGATATTAAAGTAAGTGTTTGTCAGTGAATAATTATGGAAAACACGTGTTGGAAAACAGTTGCTTATTACTTCCCTTTTTTATAAACGCCTTTGGGTTCCTGTTCGGCTGCTTTGCCAGCATCTTCTAGTAGGTTTCTGTATGCCATCGCTTTTGTAATCCATTGTATCCATACTGTTAGCGGT